TCATTTATGTAACACCTTAAGGTTTAAAAGCAAAAGCTATTAGATTCTCACACTACTTCTAGCATTATTGCAATATGATATCTTTAGATTTTATGCTTAGTGTGATATTCTTTAGTAATAATTTTAAGATTTCATGTCCTTGGATGTAAAATGTTCTATGCATAGATCAGAATGGATGGTAATTTCTGTTACTGGAGTTCTGGGACATCTTAACCCAGAAGACTAATCAGAAACCAGTTTGCAAAGCACTTATCAGTAAAAGAATCTAGCTTCCCATAGCCATTTCTGATCTTTCCTCTGCTGTAGACACATGCCAGGAATAAGTAAACTTGTGCATGTGGGGAATTTCTGATGTGGAATTCTGGGATACCTTCCATCAATGCTGATTGTGAGCTCTCGGTGACTTGGGGCACAAAGAGATCATATTACTTGACCACACAGCTAATATGTATCCGAGTCAGAGTTTGAACCAAGATCTTCTTGCCTCCAAAGGGACTTAGAGGCTTTCCAGTCCAACCTTCTTCATTGAATGGAAACTGAGGCCCAATGTGCTTAAATGAGTTGCCCAAGGTCACAGAGAAGGGAAGAGGCAGATCTGGGTTTCCTTTGATTCTGGTTTATGGCCTTTTCCCTTTTGATTCCTTCCAGTTCCATGACCTGGATATTCTACTGACAATATCTTTTGATTCAATGGATTAATTCATACTGTACCTGTAGCAATTTGATTTATACAAGAAGAAGGAATAGTTTGCTTTTTTATTAGTCATCTTTAGGAAGTGGGTATGAGGCTCACTGGACAGAATCAGGAAAACATAAGTTCAAATCTGTTTGCAGACCATGGATGGGCATTTAATCTCTCTCTTCCTAGCTTCCTCAACTGAGGATATTTATATTTACTTTGCAGAGTTGTGAGGATCAAATGAGAGCTATTTGAAGCTCTGTTTGATTTGAACTTCCAGACGCATAATGCCCCTTCCACAATAAGCTGGTTACCTGAAATCTCATCTTCATTCTGTTTAACTTAGCTTTGTATACTCAACATTTTCCCAACTCCCTCAGTTTCCTCTTACCTCTGATTGGAGGGCTGTAGGGTGGAGTATAAACTCCCAAACATCCCCTTTATAGAGGGCTGGATCTGGAATCTCCAGCTTACTCTCCACTTTTCCACCTCACCTCAAATCCCCTTCCAGGACTCTTTTGTGTGTTGTCTTCTCGCATTAGATTATAAACTCCTTGAGGCCAAGGACCATCTTATTTGTATACCCCGCACTTAGCAGAATACCTGGCATGTAGTTGGCAATTTCTAAATTTTTATGCAATAAACATTGAACAGTTGTAATGTGCTTTGCAAACCTTAAAGCATCGTATAAATGCTAGCAATTGTTAACTGTCTGTACTACATCAATGTGGTTTAGTGAAAATACTGTTGTACTAGGAGGCAAGAGACCTTGGGCTGTACACTAAACAGTTGTACAACCTAAGATAAGTTATTTCACCTTTCTAGGCCTCAGTTTCCTCATATGTAAAATGAAGGAGTTGCATTAAATGACCTGTCATTTGTATCATGAATATTCCATAGTATTCGTCTTATCAAACAGTCCCATCATAATGTCTCAGTCATCCTTATAATGCTGTCTTTTCTATGCAATTAATCAATTTTAATCGCCTTTCATCATTTCCATTTTCCAGTGGTTGGAATAAAATGGAGAAACTTTGATCCTGCTGATTAAACCAATAGGGACATACAGGATAAAATTCAGAGGAATCATTTGCATAAAGCATTGAGCACAAATGCTGGTCAGCCCCCAGAGCTGTGGTCATTTTGATCCCTATTGTGCTGTGGACAATTAGAATACATCTCCTGTAACTAAGGGATCCCTGTGTGAGACCATGAAATTTCAAGTGGTAGCTGCAGTTACAAATCACAAACATAAAAGCCTCTTACCCAAATCATCAAGCTGTTTGTGGAAGTAATTGACTGATGTGGCAAATGAATCCTTTTGGATGTTGGAAACTGGAGCAGAATTTTATGAAACCTCTTTCTGTTTATTCAGGATTGTTTGGTTATATTAACAAATAATGAATGATCCTTTCTCCAAAGCAGCCATTTTCCTCTCTGGTTTCTTGATTAACATGGCATTTGTAAGGGTTCTTGGCTTTACATAAGTATAAATTATGGTGTGATTTTCAAGGAGATGTTAAATGGGAAAGGATCTATTTTGACACTAGACCTTAAGATGAATGTAGATTGAAAATATGTCTATTGTATAAAGTTGCCATTTTAAGGAAAAAATCTGCATGATTTTTAAATTTTTGGTTTTCAAAGAACTTTACATTATTTCCACAATCCTTCTTATGTAAGAAAGTTCTTATTACTAAGAACAGTCTTTTTTTTTTCTTTTTGAGGGGTGGGAAATTTGCCCAAGAAGTCCAAAAAATTGTCACAATATAGATTTCAATCATGCCCCACTATCCTCTGAATAGACTTCTTTTAAATTGTAATATGTCATATCAAATATATTCTTCCTAAGTCTATGTGATTTCCATTTTTGTCTATTAAGAGGTATTTTGAGTATTTTAATGTTCATTTTGAGTGGAAAGATTTTCTTAGGAAAATGTGCTATCAAACATACATGTCACCTGATTTATTCTGCTGATAAAATTCCAATGTATTACTCTCATAGATTTGAAATAAGTGCTCTTCATTTAGAAAATAATGATGATAATAGTAACAACAATAATAATGGCACTGAACCCTAAACTTTGTTTGCATAATATTTGAATCCTTTTATATAACGTTCTCTAAGGATACTTGCCAAACTTCGCAGCATACTAACCTTGGGGACGTGAGAATTTAAAAAAAAGAGAAAAAGAGCTATTTTTTTCTGTACTATATTTAGGTATTATTTTGTTAGACTTCAGACCTAAGTGACAAGCCTGTGGCATACATAGGAAAGCAATTAAATTAGAACAAAGAAAATAACTAACTGTGAGTTAACTTGAAATTTATCTTTTGAGTGTCATATTTAAGGACTGTCTGAAATTCCGGTAATAATTATGGAACAAGTATTGCTTGAAACTTTTCTTTCTCCTTCCTTTCTCTCTTGGCCAAATGTCCAATCAGGTCTAGTGTCTGGGAAAGGAGGGAGGGACTAATAATTCTTTTGAAAAATATATAATTATATAAACTTTGTATCTAATAAGTGCAAAGATTTAATATGCTATTTATGAAATATAATATAGTTATATAATAATATAACATAGTTAGCAAATATAACAATAATAAATGTAATAATAGCAACAATAATAAGGGTACAAATAAGAACTAATGCCCCAAAATCTATTGAGAATCTGAAAGATTAGATAGGAGGACCATAGATTCCTTGTTGGGCTTAGAGGGAGGAGCATTTAAAAACCACACTTTTTCTTTGAAACTCAAAAAATGGCATAAAAAAATCCCAACTCTGTGATATCCTTTTCTGGTGCTATTGACATTTTGTTTGGCTTATAGTCATGAAAGAGACAAAGATTTATTAATAAGCTCACAAGGAGATGGTCAGAATAAAATTTAAGAGCTTACACAATGAATATGAAATCATAGAATGTATTAAAAGGTACCATCTTGTCTGACCTCTCTATTTTATTGATGAGTTACCTGAGATCCAGAGAGATTATGGCTTGCCTATGGTCACATAACTAGGTAGTGGTAAGAATATTATTTTGTAAAATCACCAACGGACTTTGGAACAGGTATACCAAACTTTACATTACTAAGAAGCCAAAATTAACTTCTAAGAAAATTTCATAGTAATTCAACTCCTCAGATCTACATTTTTAATTGCATAGGGGAGTTAGACTGAAATACACTTCCTATACCCCAACAGTATTGGTTGTATCTCAACAAAGAATTGAAATGAAAGAATGACTTAATTAGCTTACTTAGAGGACAGCTCTTTCTGTCTCCTTTGCTAGGTGTCTTTGATACACTCTACCCATCATAGGAACCAAGCAACCAGACAGGAGCTACTAATTATCCATGTTCTTGGGTTAGTGGCTGTAGCAAACATTGGAAGAGGCCAAGTATAGACCCATCTCCATAAACATTCCATGGAAACTGCTCCAGTCCAACCAACCACTACATTTTGATGAATCAACTTCAAAACATTTGAGTGTCTGCATTAAATTCTAAGCATTCTCAATTTAAATTAGTATCTCACCCTCAATACAAATTGCAGCCTTGGACATTTAGAGCTCAAACATTTAAGATCTTTTTTTTTTTTAATGGCTATTGGCTGGATAGATGGATAGATAGATAGATGGATGGAATGAACATTAATTATAATTCCAGACACTGTGCTAAGCATGATAAAATATAAGGGAATAAGAAAACCCCTTCTCTCAAGAACTTTACATTCCAATGGGAGAAAGAGAAAAACAAAGGAAGAGGGTGCTAGAAGGGGAGAAGATGGCAATTGCTGAGTCCAAGGCTTATGAAAAAGAGGTAAAGAAATCTGGCTGAGTCCAGCCAGGAGTGAATTGAGCATGGCTGAGTTCCTCTCATGAACCAGTGTTTTTGTCAAAAACATCAATGAAACTAGCAGGCTCCAGGGCAGAAGCATAAAGACATATAGTGGAGGACATCGAGTAAGCGATGCTGGTGAGGAATTAGAGAAAATTCCCATATTAAGGAAAATTTTCATTCTTTTATTCCAAAGGCAAGATTGTGTATGTAAAATACTTCACCCTATAATTACCAAAAAGTCATCTCAAGCATTGTGAGACTGAACCATGTCATCAACCTCCCCCCCCAAAAAAATGATAATCTTCCCTAACCTTTCTTTCATTCCTCAAAAAACATGATGCTAAATTAGGATGATTTCTATCTTTATGAAAACCATATTCAAGAATAAATTACTTTTATAGTACTTTATTGATTCTGCTTATTTTATTTTGTGAAAATTTTCCTTTATCTTATAATATGAATTCTCTTTATCCTGTAGAACCAACAGATGAGTTGAAGATAAGAAGCCACAGTACAGAACCACTACCAAAGCTGGAAAACAAAGAGAGAGGCCATCACAGAGCATCTTCCTCTAGAGAGCCAATAAAAGCTCAGGAATGGGATGGAACACCAGGACCACCAGTAACATCCAGTAGACTGGGAAGATCCTCTGTTAGTCCAACCTTGTTAGCAGGAAACAGCAGCTCAGGTAAAATGTAGTAATTAACTTCACTAATTTAATGTTTGGAAATTGATTATTGTGTTCTCATGAGCTGGTTTCCCAAATTGGTGGGTTTGAAGATCAATCACAAACTTCTCAGTCTTAATTCAAAGAAAGAACCGATTTATCCATTCACATTTCTTCGTTGTACTTACCATGGGAGTGGGGTAAGGAGCAGAAGGTAGGGTGTGAAATGATGACTTCTTTCATTTGAAGAACTCTTTAATTTAGCTTCCCTCCACTAATGCAAATCGCACAACCATCAACTGTCTGAGTTCCTGAGAGGTTACATTATTTGCCTATGGTCATAGAGCTAGTATGTAGCAGAGATTGGTCATCAATCCAGATTTTCCTTACTTAAATATCAGGCCTATAACAAATAGTCACACTTCATCGTATGTAGTTACATCTTTAGGACAAAATGAAATCATTGTGCTGGCCTTTTTATCTTACTGGATTCCATTATTATTATTTTAAAAGACCTAGAGAAGGACCCTGATCCACTATGGAGTACATGTAGGTCACAGAGGTGAGTGGCAATGTTCAATTCTACTTATCAATGAAATACTTTAATGTAATAAACCACCCACTTAAAAGCATTGGGAGTTGAAATTTAAGATTGGGAAATCTAGATGTGGAATTGGAACCTAAGTCCTCTGGCTCTGAATTCTTTGTTCTTCTTTGGCGTGTCATTGCTTCTCTTCCATATCTGAGCTTTGCCCAAATTTTCTGGCATAGTCTTTGAAAACTTAGAGCATAGAAGGCATAGAAATAGGATCACACCATCTAAGACATATATATATATATATATATATATATATATAATATATATATATATATATATATACACACACACACACACACACACACACACACACACACACACACACACACACACACATATGCACACAGATATACATAATATACATATATACATATATATTATTTATATATATAATCTTGCCTAATTATAATTGCTCACTTCCAAATGGACACGAAATGATACAGCAGATTAAACATAAGCAAAATAGGACTGTTAGGGATAAAAACAGGATGGAGACAAATAAAAGATAGATAAAGTATGGTTGTAACCAGGCTCCTGAGATTAACTAAATACTAAAATTGTGTATGAATTTGGCTCCACATTTCCTGGCAACTGAGATAAAGCTCTTAACTCACAATTAGATTACCCATTCTCAAATTTCAACTCCCAATGCTTTTAAGTTGGTGCTTTGTCATATTAAAATATTTAATCGATAAATAGAATTGAACAGGAATATAAAGACTTCATATGTTTTCTTTGAAGTGATGAAAATAACATGCCGGACTCATGTAGAGTTAGCAAAGAAAATAAACAACAATTAAGCAAAAATGCTCCCTGCTGCTTTCAGGTTTCTTCTCCTTCAGGCAGACAAAGCTCTGAAGAAATGATCAGTCTCTTAATGTTCTTTTCAAGTGAGATACTCATTCTCAGAAGCAATTAACATGAGTTCATTCTGTGATTCCCCTTGACTGTGATTGTGGGTTGAGCTGAATGACTCTTCACTCCTGTTGAAAGAATGTTTGGGGAAGTACCCATGCAAACATTTTCTTAGCTAACTTAATACAACTTGAGGTATTGCCTTCTTCAATATTTCAAAAGATAGGTGATATTACTGATGGCCAGCTTTCCTTTTGGTATCATTAATGGGTGTCCCTTAGCAGATGGAGAGATGAATTTCTGTGCCACTCCAAAATCCCAAAATTTTATAGCCCATCCATTGTGGTGAGCTTCTCCCTTATTTAATGTGGTCCCTGGACAAGTATCCAAGTAACATTTACTTGGAGCCTTTTCCATTTGTTAAGATCTATGACAGCTTGAAGTTTACTGACACTGTCTTTGAGAAGTTAGGGTCTCCATTACTGCAAAACAATGATTGGGAATAGTCATCATCTATAGTGGCTAGAGCACTGGTCTGGAGTCAGGAAGACCTGAGTTCAGTTCAAGCCTCAGATTCTTATTAGCTGTGTGATCTGAAACAGTCACTCAACCTCTGTTTCCCTTAATCCAATGAAGAAAGAAATGGCAAACCACTCCAAAATCTTTGCCAAGAAACCCTATGGACAGAATTGGTGCGTCATGGTCTACAGGGTCATGAAGAGGTGGACGTGACTTAATGACTGAACAACAACATTCAGTCTAATAGGCTAAGTGATTCAAATGACCTCTTGGGTAAAGAGCATCTTTATGGGTGTGGAAGAAATAAATAAAGGTCTTAAAGTCTTTAAAGTAAATGGACTGGGACAAGGAACTTAGGACTAAGGGGTAGGGAAGGATTTCCTATATGCTTTGTTTTTTTATGAATCAGTTAAATTTTTTTCAGTGTCTACTATATGTAAGAAAGGCATTGTGCTAGACAGTGGAGATGATCAAAAATAATAAAAAAAATATGCAATTGCAAAATTGGGTGATCTAGTGAAAAAATTGCTGAATTTCAAGTCAGAGAACCTGGGTGGAGATATCAACTTGATTCCTTTGCCAATCATTTGGGACCTTAATTTACTCATCTGCTGAAAAGATGGAAATGGATTAGATGATCTCTAGGTTTCTTTCAGCTATAAATCCTGTTATTCTATGAGGATGGAAAGGGCTTTGATACTATTCTTCATATACGTAAAAACATGTATATCTATTTAAGGAATTATACTAGTACTAGAGATAGAAGATAAAGTGATTGAATAAAAGGAAGATTGGATTTGAGCCAGAGGACCAGGGTCCAAATCCCAATTTCTTCAATTACTACTGTGACTATATTACATTAAACTAGATGCTTAGCCTCTCAATTTTGATTGGACAGGATCATAGCTCTAAAGCAAGAAGTGACATCAGAAGAATTCTAAAGTGAGTAAACCGGGGCACATAGAAGGTAAACAACTTTCCAAGGTCACAGAAGTGGCAGAGCTGGAATTCAAAGTATATGGCTGCCAGCTTAGTTCTCATTCCATTGCTTCATACTGCCTCCTATGACCTCTAAATTCCTTCTAGTGCTATAACACAGTTCTACAATATGAATTCCAGATGTCCCATTTTATAAACAAAAGCCCAAATTTGTTAGCAAGATAATGGATTGTACTTGCAAGCATTTTATATTTTGCTAAATAGTAGAAATGTGCCCACAAATAGGTGAAATATTATTAATGTTTATGGATGTTCTTATAAGAAATTCAAAGGGAAATATAATTGAAGTGAGAATTTTGACAAGAATTTATCATTTTCTTTTCTGACATACTGTCTAAACAACCTATTCTTTTTCTCATGTTCCCATCTCTGTACTAGTTCTTTTTGTCTTATTCGTAAGACTAATTTCCCACGACATGTTCAAATGGCAGATAAAAATTACTTTCTTTAAGAGAAAGGAATGAAAGTAAATTTTTTGAGGGGAGCAGCTATTTGGGTTCTTTTTCTTTATATTCCCATTATTTTGCTCATATGTTTTGTTCTTTAAAAGAAAAAAAAATTCCATTGTATTGAATTGCATTTCAGGAATAAAGAATTGGGTTAGACTTTTGATCATCCGAATTTATTTGGAGAAGTACTCTTTCTAGGGAAATATAATTTAATAATTTCACATAAAGGTAAAATTCCTGGGGACTCAGAGTTCCACTGCTGACATGCTTACAGGTATCTGTCATCATACAGGGCATTATTATTTCATGAAATCTTTAAAATCCTAGTAACATGAAAATTGTAAGACAATTAGAATGGCCACATTTATCTCTAGTCCCCATGTATATTTTGAAAAGGAAATCAGGAATTTTCCTTAAATATAAATGAATTTACCAGTTGTGTGTGGAGTCTATTGTATGTCCAGACCTGAGCTATATCACATTGTGAAATGTTACAAAGTAATAGTAATAATCTCATTGACATAGAATTCTAACATTTAAAAATAATTTTGTTTACAAATATAAGATAGGCTTTAAGTATTATCATTCACAATTTATAGAAGTACTACTTGAACCTCAGAGGTGTTAAGTAACTTGGGTATGGTAATGATTCCACTAAGTGTCAGAGTCTAGATTTGTACCATCATCTCCTGATTCAATCATCTGAGTTTTTTTTTCTTCATTCTGTTTTTCCCATTATACCTTGCATATCCAAAAAAAGTATAAAATATAATACTTGCCTCCTATCTCTTGTGTATTTTCTTTGAAACATATATTAGGTAATGGTTTGAAGAAAATCAATTAGTAGGCATATGCATTGTTCTTGCCAGAGCTTGCCATTGGCTAAAGTTGAGGTAGGGAAAAATGAGTCAACATTGCCCAGTTCACAATCTCCCACCTTCTTCTTAGACTCTGACTCCCTACCACATGCCCCCATTCAATTTTCACTTTTGGGTAAGAAGATCAAACAGCAATGCGGAGCTAAGTAGGTGCTAAGTCCTCATTTACAAGTGGTGTTTAAACTAGATTTTAAACTTGAAAGTAAATATAAATATAAGATTTAAAACTTTACAAATCTTCTCTCACAAATATGTTTGCATTCACAGATTGATACCTTTGCATATGAGTTTCCTTACTTAAGGTACTTCTCAGTCATTTTCCAATAGATTCATCAACTTTATCACTGAAATCTTTGTTGTTTTGTGTGAGTTTTCTTTAGTAACTAAAGGGGATGATTTAAAAGATTGTCCTGTGAGTGAGAATGAAACAGGATCCAGACCTTTGTGTAATTAATTCCTTCTTTCTTCACATAAAACACTGGAAGGGTGGCACAGTTTAAATTAATATGACATAAAATCTTATAATTAGTCAATCAACAAAGGCACTGAGTCAAGAAGAGCATATGTAGACAATAGTAGAGCTATAATCCTAACTGAAAGATGAGTGTTGGAAAGTCTAAGGATATGAATTTAAGTAGGGGAGGTCAGATCATGGAAGACCTTGAGATCTAAGCAATGTATTATTTAAAGATAAGCAAATGTTTACGTATGTGTATATAATTC